AATAAAAAATATAAATATATACAAAAGTTTTTTAAAAAACTACATGCTTATAAAATACAAACTTCGGCAGCTCTTGGTACAGCTTCACAAAATACTTCAATCTTGAGATCACCAAGATCTGTATGAAGAGTTACTGACTAAAAACGATTTTTTTTGGCAAGCATTTTTAATAAGTAAATAAATAAATAAAACGAATTAATCAATTAATTAATCAATCAATAAGTTGTATTTAGAAAGAAAAAAAAAATCAAAAAAGATATTTCAACCATTTAAATTTTAATTTTAAAAAAAAGTCAATTGTTTCTAATTTAAGCTTTTTGAATTAAATTGTATTGTAAAAAAAAAAAATTTATTATTTTGGGGGTTTAATTTATTCCTCGCATATTTATACTTTTTTTTTCACATAATGACTACAATATATGTGATATGCAGTGTAACTCATGTGACCCTAAATATTAATACCTTCTCTTTTTTTCCAAAAAAAATTTTTTCTTTTTAAAAAAAAAATAACAAATAAAAATTTTTATATTAATTTCCTGTAGTCATGGAAAGTAAAAATAATAATAATAATTTATCAGATTTTTATTTTATAAAACCTTCAGGTATTAAATAATATATATATTTATTTGTATAGGGATATGTATTATTATTGTTGTTGTAAGCTATTTTATAATAAATGAGGATCCGTGTTTTCTTTTAGGACAAGATTTTAAAACTTCAATAGATTCAAATAACATATATTCGCAACAACCTCAACAACTAACGTTACGAAAAAATATACCAAATCGTGGTATATCAAATAATTTTGACCTCACAAAGACTTATGAAAAGTTCGTACAACCATACAAAGAAAAAGATCCAGACAGTACTTTGTTTCCTTACATCAAAAATTTACCTGGTATGAAAACAAATATACATGTTAATTTTATTATGTTAGGTTTAGAATATTTGAGCAATATATGTATTTAAACAATATGTATTTATGTAATATATAAATACATAGCAAAAATAATTTACTCGTCGTTCATGTTTTCAATTTAACATTTATTTCTCATATTGTCATATTCGATATATTATTAATAGGCAAATTATTGGTAAATAATGATAAAACACTTAGAAAAGTTATTAATAAACCAACAAGTAAATGGGAAGATAAATTTCAAATAGACGGTGCAACAATCGAAAAAAAGCTTAAATCATTATATATACGAGGCCCTATACAAGGGGTATTTTTATTAAATTAATAGTAAATGAATAAACCATTATATATATATATATATTAATATATATATGTAATACAGTTTAATCCATCGGAAATTGGTTTAGAGGATAATAATATTAACAAAACATCAACGACTTCATCAACTACTATTAATCATCATTTATACATTCAAGGAAACTGTTTTGATCAACGTATGAATTAATTATAAAAACTATTTTAAAATTATTATTATTATTAGCGTTGGAGAAGGAAAAAAGTATCTCAATTTTTTTTAAAAAAATTTTCCCAGAACAAATTGCGTCAAATAATGAAGGAGAAGATAAACTTTATGAAAAGAAAAAGGTTTATATACTGATAATATCAATAATCAAATAAATTTAATATCATTAATGTATATATATTATTTTTACTATATATTAGAAAAAGAAGCATAAGCATGATGAGCATGATGGTAAACGAAGACACAGACATGATAAAGATGGAGGAGAATACAAGAAAAAGAAACGGAAGAAAGTTTGTATTTTTTTATTTTGATGTTTTTTGATGTCTTATTTTAACATGCAAAAAAATTTTTGTATATATTTATATTTTTTATTATTAGAATTTTATGAAATTATGTGCAAGCGGATATTACGATAATAATTTATTTCACAGGTAACTTAAATTAGCTTAATCTTTGATTATTTAAATAGAGAGTAAGAAAGATTAATTAATTTTTTTATTATTTAGAAATATTAAAGGGTTTATGGTACAGGTAATATATATATATATATATAAATTATTTTTTAAATTAAATTAATTACTTAATAAATTTAATAAATAACAAATATATTTAAAGACAGGAGATCCTACAGGAACAGGAAAAGGGGGAACATCAATATGGGAGAAAAAATTTCCTGATGAAATTAAATCTTCACTAAAGGTGTGTTTGAGCGTGTAAATATTATATGTGAGTGTGCGAGTGAATATATACGCAATATATTACGTGTATATAATTATTTAAATCGAAATAAATTAATCAGCATAACACTAGAGGTATTGTTTCTATGGCTAACAGTGGACCTGATACAAATGGATCACAATTCTTTATAACATATACTAAATTACCACATCTTGATACAAAATATACAGTGTTTGGCAAGTAAGTATTAAACATATAAAACGTCTATTATGTAATAAAATATTATATAGGTGTTTATTGATAAATAAATTTGTCTTGGTGTGAAATAATAACTAATTAAGAGTGATTGACGGTGTGGATACAACATTAGATGCTATAGAAAATGTTCCAGTTGATGAAAAACATCGACCGACTCAAGAAATTCGAATTAAATCAATCACGATTCATGCAAATCCTTTGGCTGACCGTGATTAATGATAATGATTTTAATAATAACAACAAATGCAAATATTAATAAAATATTGAAATAGAAACCAATAAGAGATAGAATTATTAGTTTAATCTAATTTATTCAATTTATTTGATTTCTTTGATCGATAAAGTTCAATAATTCTTTTACGTTCTTTTTCAACAATACGTTTATCCGCTAAGCTTAATTGAGACTTATTACTATGTTTCTTCTTTTTTTGATAATAATAACCGTCATCATCATCATCATCATCATCATCGTCATCATCACCATAATTATCTTTTTCAACTTTGGGTGATGATATTATTCGTAACTATATTTGCATAAAGTAAAAGTTTTCTTAATATTATTATTATGATAGCAGTCAATTATTCAATAGAATAAAGGCAATTGGATACCTTGTTTTTAGGTATAACAGTTATAACAGGAGGTTTATCAACTATTTCTCCAAATTTAATATCATCTTTTAAATCTTTAAAATCTTTTATTGCATTTTGATTGTTAATATTTAACTTTTCTTTTTTCTTTTCTTTTAATCGTTCTCTATACCTATAAAGGAAGTCATAAATTTATTATTACTTATAAAAACACACATGTGTTAAGAATGATAATAACTAGTAATCGTAATAGTAATAGTAGTTAATACCTTTTAGCTTTGATTTGCTTAGATGAACCTTCTTGGAACGCTTTAAGAATTTCTGGCCTCATGTGATCTTCTAAACGACGACTAAATTTTGAAAAAGGTTCCCCTGGTAATCTTTCAATGCCAGTACCTTTATTATTTTTAACAGTGGTGGTGGTAGAGGAATTAATCTAAAATAATAAAATAATAAAATAAAATTTCATCGACAATCACTCTCAAACTCATTTTTAAACATTAACGAACACATTCATACGATATATTTATAATTAAATACCTTACCTTTGTTTTAACATTATCTCTGACTTTTTTAATTCTGTGCTCCTTTATTTTTAAAAGTCGAGAAAAACGACGTGGAATGTCTGGTTTATCATCAAATGTTGGTGGTTCATCATATCTGATTATATAATAGAAGCTGTATAAATTATTAATTCATTGGATAATTCTACAAATATTAATTTATTACATTGGTTCAAGAATTGCCTTTTCTTTTTCTTTTTCTTTATAATTTGTTTTTGGATTTGATTTTTTTATAGATTTACGTTTTTTTATAAAATTATGCTTTCTTTTTTTAGCCATTAAAAAAAATTTTTTTTTATGTAAAATTGTGCACAGTCTAAAATAAAATGAAATCGTATATTTTAAGCATTATTATTATTATTATTATTATTATTGTTGTTGTTATTTTTAATAATTTTTTTATTCTTCTCAGAACTTCCTCTCCTAATTTTTCCTTCCTTTGTTTTTGCCAATGAGAAATCATTGAATGATCAATAGTAAAATGACGCCCAGCTGATCTTGGGATAAAAATAATGATAAGGAAATCAATATGTGATACGAAAACTCTCAAGTATAAGCACCCATTACCACCTATCCAACACATTTAAAAATGGTGGTGCTTATATTAGAGAGAATACGGTAGTTTTATTTATAGAGAAGAATGACATTTGTTATTATATTAAAAACTTTGATGATTAAGTTCTACAGTCCATACGATTGGTGAATCAGTTTCGATCGTTATAATATCGTCTTCCAAGTGATTTGAAGTACTTACCAGTTTACTACGTGGCTGTCAATTTTTTTTTTGTATTTTCATTGTTTTAAAATATGATCAATTAGTTTTCTCGGTCCTGGTGTAACCTTTCGGCACTTTTTCTAAGACAGTTTTAGTTTAGTATTATCATCTAGACTGCGAGTGGATTTCCCAAACTAATAAAAATCAGTCATTAATTTTTCTTTTTGCAAAAAAAAAAAAATTTAGTAATGAATAATTGGAAACTTTCAAAATTTTTTAATAAAGAAAACGAACCAGAAAAAAATCCACAACAATTTATCTTGGTGATTTTGAATCAACCATTATTAATTGATGGTTTATTTAAAAGATTGTGGGGAAATGGTAAAGATGTAAATATTGTTTGAATTAAATCAAGAATTTAAGAAATTTTTAAATTATTATTATTTATTTTGGGAAAAAAAGCAAAATATGTTTTATGTGCAGATGGTGGAGCAAATAGATTATATGATAAATTCAAAGGAACTGATTTACATGGAAAGTTAGTAATAATTATCATTATCATCATTATCATCATCATCATTAGAAGGATAAATTATTTCAATTATTTTAGATTTATTCCAAAAATTATTAGAGGAGATTTGGATTCTTTAAGAGATGATGTTCGTGATTTTTTTGATAAAAATGTAAGCAAGCAAGCTACAGAAACAAAAATCATAAAATCAATATTGTTATTATTGACGAATATTTATTAATGTAGGGTGTATTGATTGAAGAAGATAAGGACCAAAATTCTACAGATTTTAAGAAATGTATTGATAGAATTGAATTAATTGAAAATGAGAATAATGAAAAGGTAAAAAAAATTAGACAAATACACGTAGAAAATAAAAATGATAAGGTTCATGCAGATGTATATTTTAGTATGAAATAGTGGCTTTGGGCGCAACAGGCGGCAGATTTGATCAAGCAATGTCACATATTAATTATTTACATCAATTGAAAAATCAACATCAAATATATTTATTATCAAATGAAAATATAATTTTTTTACTAGATAAGGTAAAAAAATATTTATATCTAAATACTATACAATGAATATTATTATTCTTATTAACAATTTTTTTTTTATTATTTAGGGAAAGCATCAATTATTTTGTGATAAAAATATTGAAGGTCCAACTTGTGGATTACTTCCAATTGGTGTAGAGGCTGCTGTCATTACCACAACAGGCCTAAAATGGAATCTTGGTAGGCAATAAAA